TGTAGAGTTGGCTACTGAACTTGAAAAAAAGGAACCAAACAAGATAAAGATGGAAGAGGACATGTCACTAGATCTGGCTAATGATCATATAACAGACTAAGCCGTCTCAACTTTACATGGAGAATAAAATCCCTACATTACTGTCCTTCCCACTTTTTCTATGGAAAGCTTGGTGTTTTTATATGATCTCAGCTTTCATCATTATACCTTTCCTTTAGTTAACTTTTGAATACTACTTTTATGAATATTTAACATTAGAGTAACATTTTACACTTGTAAATTCTGGTTCTATTTGTTTTGCCAGTGAGGAAGCCAGTAAAATAGGGATTTTATTCTCCATGTAAAGTCGAGTCTGTTATATGATCATTAGCCGGATCAAGTGATATGTCCACTTCCATTCCTATATTGTTTGGTTCTTTGTTTCAAGTTCAGTAGCTAGCCCTACATAACTGTTTTATTTAGCGATAACTTTTGTTTTTGTACTTGTTTGCTTATTTTTTTTATAAGATGGGGTACATGGGTTACTAGGTTATAAAGTGTATTCTAAAGTTTTATAAATTTTACATAGCATAATAAAATAGGTAGTCAAAGTCCGTGAAGACTGTTTACTCTATTAAATAATGATAAAATTATAGTTACTGCTAGAACAAGGTAGGTGCTGGGTCTGTTGAAGAAAGATGATAGTTAACGAAAATAAGAAATCTCGGTTTTGGCTATTCGCCGTTTTTCGACTTTGGTACAATCTGGATAGCTGAAAAGCGGCATATACACCTGAGATAGAGCGAATATACCAGGTAGCTCATCATATCTAGCATCTGTTTGTTTGTTTTGTAGTTAACCACAAAGCTACACAAGGGCTATTTGTGCTCTGCCCACCACGGGTATCGAAACCCGGTTTCTAGCGTTGTAAATCAGCAGACATACCGCTGTGCCACTGGAGGGCTCTAGCTTCTGATGACCAAAAGAAAAGAAAATCCAGATGACTGTTGTATTGCTTTAATATGGGCGTTTGTGCCATCCCTACATAGAGAGCGCTACGG